CTTAATTTCATCTCTGTTTAAGTCACTTTTTAATTTTACTTCACAGTAACGAATGTCTCCTTCAAGAATACCTCATTTTGCTTTCTCCAAAAGTTGCAAAAACAGCTTGGGTAATGAGCAGTTTATTTGCAGTGATAACGTATTGGTTCTACTTAGGAAACTAGCTCACAAAACTTTTCCCTATGGCAAAACAAAAATGTCATACACAGAGGTATTACAATGTTTATGCTAACTTTGGCATTTTACAGACTTGAGCTCATTATTATTCTCATTAATTTTGTGATTGTTAATAGCACTGCTATTTATGTGATGACTTAACCTTTACAGATTTCAATCAAAGATCTCAAAACTCAATGGAGAACGTGCTCCGAATGTAAGAAGATGTACCTCTGAGTGATTTTTCCCAGTGGGGAACATATTTTGATCCTCAATATCTTTAAACAACCGGGAGGTCTAGCTAGAAAAAAGTCAAGAAATAATCACTTCAGGGTCTCCCCTGGTGGCGCATCGGTTAAGCACTGGGTTGCGAGGCTGCCCGCAGCCTCTGCAGCACCAGTTCGATCCCTAGCCACTGGCGAGGCTCCCACAAAAAAAAAAAAAAAAAAAAAAAAAAAAGAAAGAAAGAAAAAAGAAATAATCACTTCATTAGTAAAGATATAAAAATTATAAATGACTAATTGACTTTCAAAAATATAAACTATGAATGTCTAAAACACCTATGAAATTAAAACAACCTATGTGGGTATTTGTAGATGTTTTCTTTTATGAAGATAATCCTAAAACATGGCAAAGAATAAGGGCTTTTAAACAAAGAGCCATATTATATGGCAAAACTACTCTGTCTAAATCTGAGCTGGATAAACAAGAACGAGAAACACAGTGAGGTCCCCACTATTCACTTTTACCAATGTATGATTTAGGCCATGTTACCATCATTTTGTCTTAGCTTATAGAGTTGTTCATCAGTCTGTGTCAGCTACGTTTCTATAGTAAAGCCATTGACCATAATAAACATGCACTTAATATGAACTATTATATCTTTCATCTTTTTCTGTACTTTAGAACAGTTTGTAAAGCATAGCAATTACTATAGTTTAAAAGAACTATCCTGATGGTGAAAAAAATCTAAGTCTAAAAAAAATCAGCTGTGCCCAGGCTGTATAAGACAGCACTTGGTGGTAGAAAGCCAAAACAGTTCTACCATGTCTGTGGTGGTCATACCTCCAGAAATTATTGAATTGTTGCCACTCAGCTCCAAACCCTTCCTTCTGTATTCTGTTTTTTGATGCTGAGGCCAGGACTCTCAAAATACCTTCCTGCTTTGTCTGATGGCTCTATGTTAGGATATGTCAATATCCTAACAGATCTAAGCACCAGAGGGGAACCTGAAGGGGCTAGAGGAGAAGATACTCATTCCTCCCTGTTTCCTGTGGGTTTCCTGTCTGCTTGTTGTTCCATGAGTTAGTCCTGCCATGCTTTTCACCCTACCTGCCCATAGCAGCAGCCAAATTCAGCATTCAGTTTTCTATATACTTGCAAACACCTGTCCCACAGAGACAACAGAATCAGCTCATCACCTCATTCTTCAAGATCTGGAGCCCAGGCCCACAGGGCTCCCCACTGCAAATTCAGAACCGTCAGCACCTGTCCAGCAGTACCATCTCTTCAGAGGTCTGAGTTGCAGTTCCATGGGACACCTCCTCTAAGTTTCCTCAGCTAAGGGTTGGCAGTCCCTTCCTGCAGTTACTGCCTTCTTGATACCTTTTTTTTTCCCTTTCAGTGATTAATAACACTATACCTAGTAAAAAATTCTTTCTTTTGCTTCAAATAACTGGTGTGCTTTCTGTGCCCAAATTTGAGCCAATCTTAGGTTGGGCTGCTACAACAAACTATGATAGACTGAGTGGCTTAAACAGGAATAGTTCCTACTCACAGTTGAGCATGGAAGTCTAAGATCAGGCTTTCAGCGTGGTTGGGTTCTGGTAAGGGCCCTCTTCCAGTCTGTCCACCAACCATTGATGTATCTTCACTGGGCTTAGCTCTCTAGACTTTTCTGATAAGAGCAATAATCCCTTTTGTAATAGCTCTGCCCTCCTGGCCTAATCACCTCCCAAAGTTCCCACCTATAAATACCACCACACTGGGGAGGGTGTCAGGATATCAGCGTTTTTTGATGTAACACAAACATGTAGTCCATTGCAAATATTTACTGATACAAAAGAGAATATACAACATCTAGCAAAAGTCACATGGATTTACCTTTTGACCCATCAATACCTTGTCTGGTACTCTATGCAAAAAGATACGTGCTAAAAGATTTTCTTAGAAGTGCTGTTTATAATAGCAAAGTTTGGAAACAAAATTGTCTGCAAAGGGTACATGCACAGAATGGAGACTTATGAAGTCAAAAAGGGCATAGGAAATTATTCTATATATTTGTTCTAGAGTAATCTCCATCATTCATAGTTAAACTAAAAAAAGGAGGGGGTGGGAAGATGCATCTTGTATCCTGCTATTTGTCTAAGAAAAGGAATAATAAAAGCACAGCCACATATTTTCTGTCATTAAATTAAATTGGAAGAGAAACAAAAAATAGGGTGTTTATTGGAGGTAGGAAAGAATAAGTTGAAGATCAGGATAGAAACGAAACATCTCTGGGTATACCTTCTTTTACAGATTTGACTCTCAAGATCTGGTCATCAATTTCAACATGGGTTGGAGGGGGCCTCACCAAGTGGGTGTCCTACATTTTAATTCAATTCTGACACACTCTACCTATAGATAACAACAGATCCCAGAGGTTAAGGTGTCAGTTTAACAAGACTGCCTCCCTACTTCAGGTGTGCTCCTGAATGACCAATTATAGATTAGAGGTTCCAAGAACCTCTACCTTGTGGTCAATTAATTTACTAAAGCAGCCCACAGAACTCAGATAAATATTTTATTTATTGGATTACCAGTTTATTATAAAAGGAACAGCCAGATAGAAGAGATGCATAGGATAAGGTGTGGGGAAAGGGTGTGGAGCTATTATACACTCTCCAGGCACAACACTCTTTCCAAATCTCCACATGTTCACCACTGGGAAAGTCTCTGAATGCTATCCTTTTGGATTTTTATGAAGGCTTCATTATTTAGGTGTAACCCATTTAGTCATTGGCCATTGTCAAGCAATTCAACCTCCTGCTCCGCTCCCCTCCCCTCTCAAGATATCAGGGGGTGGGCATGAAAGTTCCAATCCTAATTAAATGGTTAGTTTCTCTAGCAACCAACCTCCACCCCTAAGCACTTTCCAAAAGTCATCTCATTAGCATAAAAGAGAGACCTTTATCATTCAAGAAATGCCAAGGGTTGTAAGACCTATGGGCCAGAAACAGCAGGGAAGAAAAACAAATATTTTTTTAAATTATAAATCACAATTCCACAATTTTGAAACAATAAAAATAATTGATATAATCATAAACTATATTTTAAGTGATATATTTTATAAACAAACAAATGAAAACTCTATCCACTGGAAGTCATTATTTTTACAAAAACCAATCCAACAGCAATGAGCACCTCAATGCCCAGATTATGTCTCTAGGTACCATTTCCTGGGCTCTTTTGAAAAATGACAGGTGTAAGTCTAAACAGAAAATGTATAGTGAGTCAAAAACTGCTATTATACTCAAAAACAAGGACGCTATCAAGGATAGCTAAGTCAAAAGGACTCAGGCACAAACTTGAAGACATACATTCATGTACAATCCCAATGATTTATGATCACTCATTAATCATTATGGTAATCAAGGTCTACTCACATAAGAAAAAAAATAAAAAGCCAACCAGATATTATAGACCTGTTGATAAAAGTACACATCATCTTGAGTATTCTTAGCCAGAACATAGAGCCATAATCCAATCAAGTTCGAATTACCTGTACCTATTTGCAGGAGATACAAATATATATTAAATGACATCTTGGAGATACGATTGGCAAAATCCAGGTGGTAGAATACCATAGGAAAAACAAGTATTTCTTCAAATTAAACTTCAGGAGAAAAGAATCTAATTTAAACAAATTGTTTTAAAAATTAAAAAACATTTGGGAAAATTTAAACACAGATGGGATATTTTATGCTATTTTGGGATTTTAAAAACTTTTAATGTGACAATGATGTTTTGGTTACATTTTTAAAACAAAATAGGTGACATATAAAAGTGTATGGAGGCAGGTATTTGCTTCAAAATTATCAGGATTGGGGAGGAATTAAGGAAGAATATAGGAAAAACAATGGCCCAGATTGTTAATTGTAAATTCTGGGCAGGGGTTCATTACATAATTCTTTTTACTCTTTTATGCTAATATTTTCCATAATAAAAACTCCATTTAAAAGGCAAATTCATGTAAGTGTGTTAGGAACTTTTTTTGGGTGGGGGAAGGGGATGCAACACTTTGATAACTCTTCCTTTTACCTGCATGCTTATTGCAGTAGCCAAGTTTTCCATTTCTTCTAGAGTCAACCATTTCCATTTCTTCTAGAGTCATGCACAATTTATATGTAATCCTTGGAGTAGTGGGGGGGATGTATGTGATGGAGGACAAGAATAGAAAAACGGAAAGGAGGCCTCACAAGACTAAAACCTGACTCACACAAGGAGGTGGGGGTTGAGGGGAATACCATGACCCTAACCCAGCTGTAGAGGTCGTGACCCTTAGGCACCAGTGCCTTATCACAAGGCATGAGACCCAAGAAGGATCAGATGCCATAGAGAGTGGAGCACAGGCCTGAGGGTAAAGATATGGAGATCGGGCCCACCCTGGAATCTCTGGTCCCTTTCTAGTTTTGCCGGTTACCCAACATCCGCAACAAGCAGGCCTCTCCATGGAGGAGTGAGCCCTCCCAAACAGAAGGGGACTATATCAGTGCAGTCTCTGCACAGGCTTGGGGCAGCACTCCCACTGCCCACCTATGACTATGCAGGTGCTTCTTCTCACTAACTCTCTCCCTTTGCAGGGCAGCAGCCTCCTGCCTGCCGGTGACCTGCACATGCCGGGACTTCTTCTCGTCACTGACCTCCCTCAGCAGAGGCCTCTCTCCTCAAGGCCGCCTGCCTGCAACCATGCAGGCCTCTCTTAGCAAAACCTGTCCCTTTCCCTTTCCCTAATAAACCTGTTCTTTAAATATGACTAAAATCTCTGTCTCATGGAGAAACACACCTGGGGAACTCGCCACATGCCGCTGAAACGGGAGCTCTGGTGAAACCTTTCCCAGAGTGAACCCAAGGACCCCGCACTCACTCCAAAAACTTCATCCTATGCACTAGAGTTTTTGTTAGAGAACAAAATAATTAGGGCTACTCTGTATAAAATGTAAGACTGTAAACAAACCTGCCTGAGAAGAACAATCATGCCTGATAAAGAGAAATGAGGAACTGCTTGGTCATACAAACCTGGGAAAACGAGAATAGAGAAGAAAGAGTAGCGCTGGGGAGGATGGCAGATGGCGATGCAGCCTGTGATCAAACCCTTCCCCATTACTCTGGAAAAGAATAGAAATAGTCTATATGCAACAAAAGACTTGATACTAATAGCTAACATCTGGTGAACATTTATAACCTGCCAGTCCCTTTTTTTAGCACTGTCTACACATTAGCTCCTCTATTCTTCATGACAACACTGCAAGGCACGAATTGTGATTACCACTATTTTATAAGAGGAAACAGACCAGAGACTTCCATGATATACAACTATTTAGAAAAAAGGGGAGTCAGAATTTAATCCCACAACTGAAGGCAACATGACTCCAGGGCCTGCACTTTTAGGCCTCTTGACTCTGGTGAATGTTCAAAAACTACTGCCCTCGGGCCAAACACAGCCAGTGACCTGTTTTTGTACGTTTTGAGAGTTAAGAAACATTCTACATTTTTTAAAGGTTGTAAAAATAAAAGTGGAAGATTAAAGAGATGGAGAAATGTATGTGCTCACAAAGGCTAAAATGTTTGCTCTGTGGCCCATTTCCAGAAAAGGTGACGACCCCCCGCTCTAGTGCCCTGTGTGATGATATTGTTATATGGCACAAAGGAAATGTGAGCACCAGGGCTAACAAGAAGCAGGTTTAATGCACCGGTGCTGACTCGGCAGATTCGTATTCCAAGGCTGAGCCTGTCAGTAGGAAGTCGCTGACTCGGCAGATTCGTATTCCAAGGCTGAGCCTGTCAGTAGGAAGTCAGGGGCTTATATACACCTTCAGTTTCTACAAGGTTCCGGGTGGGTTTGCATTGGCGGCTGTACATGGTCAGATAGGATGTGGCTACATACCAAGAGGTAAGTCATATAGTTGCATACCAAGGAGTGAATAAAGGGTCAGTGGTCATGGCAGTACCCAGTCTAAGATTCATATCAGGGACTAAGTTGCATACAAGGATATGAGCAAAAGGTTGTTACTAAGGTCCCCAGGCTGCTTATCCCAGGTCACCATGCTTCAATGTGAGTGGCCTCCATGTGAAAAACGTAAAAGGGGCAGATTGACTCATGTTGGATATTGCTGGGAAAACAAGACAGCCCACATAGATATGGTAGTGTGGACGTTTAGAAATATATGAAGAAATATATAGTGGCGCAAGGGGTTAAGATGTAACCTATGAAGCTGTCCACAGACACTGCAGTACAAGCTTGATCCCCAGCCAGGGAGCTACCCACATGGCGCAGCAGACCTCTCCTGTCTCGCCCGCTGCTCCCCTCAGCAGTGTACTTCAGTCAGTCTGCCTGTTCTGTTCCCCACTCTGTCTCTGGTGAGTCCTCTCACCCCCTGCACCTCTAGTCTGTACCTCAGTTCTTACATGCATAAATAAATAAATCTTGAAAAATATATATGTGAAGACAAAATTTCAAAGCTGGAGAAGATCTTTGGATTGTCACAGCAATAGAAGTGGTATTTGAACCAAAAGCAACTAAATCTCTGAGGGGTAAAAGCTACAAGTGATATAGGTGATAGATTGATCAATTGATAGAGATTGATCTATATATATCTATATATATTTATTTCTCAGAAATTTTCTGTCCCTTTATGAGTTTCTAAATTATTTGCATAGACTATTCACAGTATTGAATTATTTTTTTAAGGTTTATTTATTTATTTATACAAGCACTGGATATAGTCAGAAGCGCAGAAGGGTGAGAGAATTCACCAGAGCCAGAGCGGGGAACAGAACAGGCAGACTGACGAAATACACTGCTGAGGGGAGCAGTGGACGCAGCAGGAGAGGTCTGTCGCGCCATGTGGGACCCTCGCCAGCAGCTGGGGATCGAACCGGTGCTACAGAGGCTGTGGGCAGCTTTGCAGCCCAGCACTCAACCGCTGCGCCACCAGGGGAGGCCCTATTAAATTATTTTAACATCAAATATTTGTAGTTATATATCTCAATAAGTGTTTGTATACTTTTGGGCCTCCCTGATGGTGCAGGCAGTTGAATGCAGCGCTGTGAAGCTGTCTACAGCCTCTGCAGTGCCGGTTCGATCCCTGCCAGTCGCGGAGCAACCCACATGGTGCCACAGACCTCTCCTGTCTCGCCCGCTGCTCCCCTCAGCAGTGCTTTCAGTCCACCTGCCTGTTCTGTTTCCCACTCTGTCTCTGGTGAATCCTCTCACCCTCCCATGCATCTGGCCTGTACCCCGGTTCTTGGATAAACAAATAAATAAATCTTCAAAAAAAAATTTTTTTTAAGTGTATACTTTCATTTTTATTTATTTGGCCAGAGATTTGAATAATTTGCTCTTTTCAAGGATACTGTTCTCAGAATTACTAGATTCTAAATTTTATCATTCATTAACATTTTGTGACTAACATATTTTCTTTAGTTTTTCTAACTGTACTAATAACTATAGAACTTAAGGCTATACATTTACCAATATGTACAGTTTGGGTTACCTCCAAAGCATTTCAGGGAAAAGGGGAGGGATTTTTATGTGTTTTATTATTATTATTAATAGATTCTCTGTTCACAAAATAGCTCTTGAGAAATACAAATAGTCATACCATAAAACCAAGCAAATTCTAGTTTTAAAATAGAATATGTTGCAAAAGAAATCATATGATTTCATAAATTTGCCTTAAAGTAATGGGAAATCAGAGGCAGATATAGAAGTAACAAGATTGGCCGTGAGTGAGAATTGTTGAAACTGAATGATGTCTATACGAGGGTTCATTATACTAATAATCTCTCTACTTTTGAAAATGGAAGATATTATTCCTAATTAAACATGTTTTTTTAAAAAAGCTTAAAAAGTGACCAAATATAACAGTTCCTAATTTCCATCTTAGCAAACTTTGGTACAATTAAAGAAAATGTTAAATAATTTTTTTCTCAATGCAAAAACAAAATTATACGAAAACTAAATTTTTGCCTGATGGTTTCAACCCAATGCCATAGTACCCTTCACCTTACCTGCCTCCCCTCTCAAAAAAACAAAACAAAACAAAACAAACAAACAAAACATCACAAATATCTGTAAAGGTTAAGGCTAGGGGTTTTATCCTACATATAAGTTAATAAGTCTTATTATTTTATGAATATTGGCTTATTATTTTATGAATATTATTTTTAGTCTTATTATTTTATGAAAGACATGAGACTTCTAGATCATGGAAAAAGACTATTATTCATGGCTCAGCAAGCAGCATGATGTGCCATGGGGGATGGTGTGGAGGGACACAGAGGATGTTAAAATACACACAGTGGGATTTCTGTTGCAGACCAGGAGCTCTAAACTTGGGGACTCACTGCTTTTGAATCCACATGTAACCAAGATCCAGACACAGTAATCATAAATTTCTAAATAATAATGCTTCATCTATATCCTCATTCAATTCTTCCCCATACCTACTACTTTCGAAGCAAATGTCATACTTTACATAATTTTAAAGCTCAAGATTACTCACTACAAACACAACTCTGAAGAATGGCACAAGAAAGGAGAAGCCATACCCAGGCACACCCAGAAAATGTGCAGAGATATTCAGGGACCACAGACGATGCCTTTCCCATCAACCCACCCGTTGTCCCTACATATCTTGGCTTCTGGCAAACTTTCACATAAGCATGTCATTCTGTTGCCCACCCTGATGAATTTAACCAAAAGAAGCTGAGCGAAATCTGCTCCATTTGTCTCTTACAGCATTTAATTAAGGCTACTATTAATAGGGCTCCGAACAACAAGATGAAGTTAACCTGCAAAATTGACCTCAATCATGCCTTCCAGGGCCCTGCGGTCAGACTACTGTCCCAGGGGATACCAGGAGACTTTATTTCAAACAGCCAGGAAGTGGCATAGTCTAAAGCTAGTGTATTATCCATTACAATCCATGCAGGGGACTCTACACTGACCTGCTGCTCTTTGGTGTCACTGCCAATAATTAGAGGAAAAATAGATGGGTCTCCCCAGTGGAGAGACATTCTGTGGCCCATTTCCAGCAATATACAAACACATAACCCAACAGACAGAGGTAATGCCTATAAGGATTTGCTGTTAAACTTGATTTGGGTCAGCCTGACATTGATTTGACTAAGTCACGTGGGCAGCATCACTGAGTGGTTGGAGTCTCTTTACCATGCATCACCCAAGAACTCTCAAGCATTAGAAAAGCATGTAAATTTGTAGGTCAGAAGGAAATGAGTTGTACTGGTCTGTGTATTGGTTCCTGTTTAAAGGCGGGGAGGGTTGAACACTGCTATGGATGGCATCAGACACAACGGAAAATTTATCATCAACTACAGGTTGTCAGTGGCAGGTACTGTGGTTTGACCCTAGTGGCAGTGTTGGTTCTAGGCAACAAAGACATTACCAATTGCCCCACTCTTGCACCTCTGGGGTCTAAGATAGTCTGGCCCCAGAAGCCAGGGTTGCTGCCCTCCTTCCACACCATGAAATCTATGGGTCCCACCCCAGTAACTATAACTTCACCTTTCCCCAATCAGTTACTGATATCTAGACCTCTTCTCTGGAAAGAGTAGGTGCAAAAAAGATATGGGAAGCAGAATAATAGGTCTTCCAAAGATGGCGAAGACGTTATACTTAACAGCATAAA